AGAGTTGAAATCAGGAGCAGTGCTGTGCAACCGTAGAACATCATCTTTACCTACCAAAAGAGGAAACACTACTCTAGAATTAAATTTTTCATTTGCACTGAGCTTCTCTTGCACCTATTTAGTACAACTGGCGGGTGCACTTATTGCGCGCCGCAGGTGTCTAGAAAAACACCGCTACTACTTGAGCTAAAAAAAAGCGTAGACTATAGCATATGTGCACGACAACAATAATCGTTCGTTTGCTAGCGTTCGGGATACAAAGAAGGTTTTTCGAGGTTCGGAGAACGGTTGCTCATCGTTGTATTGTGCGAACGTTCAGACTACATACGACTCTAAAAAAACAGAAACTATGCCAAAAAATGCCACTTAAAACATTCAGTGTGCCAATCGCACGTAAGGAACAAAAGCCATTGGTACTAAAGGTGCTCCACCGAAGCTTCCGTTTATCCAAGCAAAATGCTCGAAGAAATATTATTCTGCACACGCGCTGGCGCATTTTTTTTGCCGTTTATAAAACCAGAACAGTGAACTGAAACTGCAGCGGTGTTCTATTGGCTATGGTGCTCGATTGCTGCTCTGCCGAGTAGACGAGAACTGACCTTTACCACCGGTGTCATCTCATCGACAGAATTAAAGGCTGATTTTTTGGCAAATTGAATTCCTTGCAATCTATGTCACAATTAGTTCAGTGCAGTTGCAAACAGTAACTAATGACCTCGTTGCTTTTCAAGGTCTAGTTGCCTGTTCGATTAATTTGGCTTTGTCTATAAGAGACTCTGCGTACGCACATCTCCGTATTAGTTAATCCGCCTATAAGAAGTACCTGGAGAGCTCTCCCAAGGCGAGAATTTGGAAAAGCTGTAAAGCCCAGACGTTTAACTAATGAACCAAGTGTGCTTCGCTAGTTGTCTACAAAGTCATTGACGAAGTAGGAGAAACTATTCATTTATCCGATCAGAAGTCATAGTCTGTCGGTACCTACAGATCTGTGACTTGCCCACGCAAGTCGATGAGTTTACAATCGCACGGGCAGTGGCGATCCCGGATTGCCGCATGGTCCTCAGTGACTCAAAGCTGGCAATAGTCAATTTCTCTACAAAACAACGCCCATGAAACCACCGCAAGAGTATGTTCAACTATAGCAAAACCGGAAACCAACGTAACCATCAAGTGGTTCCCTTTGCGCGCTAGGGAGCTGCACACGGGCCCGAACCGCAACGAGGAGGCAGATACGGAAGCACATGCGCTAAGTGTCCACGAGCTTTCGTCAACACATTCCTCGGATCCGGAATGACCCGATGCCGAAGGCGAAGAGTATTTCATCACAATCTACGGCAACGTTCTGCAGTGGTGCAGAACGAGCTGACGCCTCTGCCCAACGCCTCACCGAAACCTACCACGCAGCGAAGCAGCCACACTACGGCGGTGGCAAGTACAAGCCCCATAGACCCCTATCTGGGCAAAGCACGTCTGCCTGGAGGTATACTTCACAGATATATGCCAACACTGCAAGAAGGCATGAGCCACACAGAGATACTTCCTCTTGAACACTTTGCCACCACCGGGTAACCAAGAAGCAATGTCAACTGCAATCAGCAGCAAAATCATGTACTATGAGCCAGGCATCCAGAGAGACGTGGTCCAGCACGTGCTTGACATCCTGGAACGCCAGCGGCCGAAAGCGGTGCTCTCACGAGTTTGACGTGAGTAGGTTGCTGCTCCGGTACGTCCGAGCACGCTAGAATGTTTCTTTAGTTCTCCTACCTTTTCCCCCTTTATGCCGGATCGACAATAACGTTGTTCCACTCACTCAACAGATCTGTGTGTTTTCTTTGTCGGCCCTGCATAACTCCAACCTCCGGACAAAAGCCCTCCACATATTTCTACTGTCATTCAAAGCCTATGTCACTCTCCATAATCCAACTAGAATGAGAGTGGCTCAGCTCCAATATGGTAGACTCGCTTTTATTGCTTTCAAACATGTGAGGACAAAAATATTTTAAGCACATGTTAAAGCGTCACCTACCACATTCCATCCTTGTTTTTCTTTCCTTTTGTTCGCTTTTAACCAGACTCTCACATTTAGGTTGTTTTGCAGTGAAGTTAATTTCGCTGGTACGTTTATACCCCAAGAAAGGAATTTCGACGAACGCTTTCCGAGTTGTAAAGACCACAACAATTTATTCTCGCTTAACCTCCATCCCCATCATCTGGTTCCCCAATCACATGGATGCAGTCTCCTGTAAACTTACCAATACTACACGCCCTACTGCTCGCGACACAATTGAAATTTTCGGTAAAGCCTTCGAGGTGGGCGCAAACAAGGTGAGGGTGTCCAGTTGAAACGAAATAACCGTGGCTTCCCACTTCGTTCGGCAGTTTTACTTTGTTTAACCACAAGTTTTGCAGAACCCAAACAACCCCCGTTTGACAGCTACAGACGACTCTTATCCAAACTTCTATACCAGATTTTACCCTGAAGCATATCACGGGCGACAGCTCCAGCAAGGTCTGTGGCGTACAACCTGCTTCACTGAAACACGTATTGTGGGATTCGGAAGCATATACTAGGGGTATTCATCTCAATGTTCTCTCGGACGGCCCTGGCACAGATCGGGGCTGGTCCACCAAAGTCTGGCCATCCAGCATGACCACAATGTGTCAGTCAGCAAAGCTTGGATGTCTCGACGTTGGAGACCTTAGTCCGGTTCATCAAGTTGCGGCAAACACAGTCAACATTTTTAACAACCAACCAACCAGCTCAGTGTGTACGTTCCTTGGGTTCTAATCAAACAATAAATATCAATATGTACCTTTATTCCGAACAGAGCTTTTTTCTTATATGACGTCATATAATGGTAGTCATCGCTAATTCACAAAAAAAATTAAATTACCTAAGTGATAAAGAAGTATTAAATATTAGCAGAAACTTCTAGCACCATGTGCATTTTGTGAATGTACTACTGCGCGTGCCGCTAATCATGACGCCATGCCACTACACTGTAGGTAGCCACTGCTGTACACCGACGCTTTTGTAAACACCGCCGTGGTGGTCTAGTGGCTGAGGTACTCGGCTGCTGACCAGCAGGTCGCGGGATCGAATCCCGGCTGCAGCGGCTGCATTTCCAATGGAGGCGGAAATGTTGTAGGCTCGTGTTCTCAGATTTGGGTGCACGTTAAAGAATTAACCCCAGGTGGCCGAAATTTCCGGAGCCCTTCACTACGGCGTCTCTCAGAATTATATGGTGGTTTTGGGACGATAAACCCCACATATCAATCAATCAATCAATCAATCAATCAACGCTTTTGCAAAGCTCGGCTATATTGAAGATTCTTGCAACCACGATCACAGTTGCACGTTATAAAGTGAACCCGCGACATACATAGCGTGATGTGATGGGCTGAAGTAAGTCCCGCGTATAATTGTTGGCTTATGCCTATTTTTGCTCGCTGCCGTTCAGCATATCATCTCGTTACCATATAGTGGCGTCGCATTACATGGAACGACTAATACCATCATTAGTACAACCATTTCGCTAGCGAGGCACGAGGCGCTATATACATACACGATAATAAAATGAATGTGGTACAACGCCCGAGACATGTCGCATACTTTAAAATGAAATAATGGCGTCTGTATGAAGAGTATAGTTGGGTGGTTTGGCCTGTGCCCTTGGAAACCTGCCATATGAGGGTTTCAAAATTGTGTCTGTATCATTTCCGATCTCCTATGCCAGTAGCCATTTCGTGCTTACATCTGCTCTCAATTACGGGAGAGCAAACTTTTTCTCTCTCTTTCTATTTTTCAGACTGCATTAAGGGCGTAAAGGTTTCTCATATGCAAATGAACTATTGTCGCGTATTGCAAGAAAAACACGAACAATGATCACTTGCGGGTAAACTTGGGCCTAGAAAAGTAGATCTTAAACAATGGAAGAGTCCGCTAAAGTGTTCCCCACGCGAGCCTCTTTGCAAACAACTCGCAGGTCAGTCCAGCGGCTCGTGCCTGTGCACGAGAGGAATGCGTCGCCGTGCCACTAGGTGGGCGAGCACGCGTGAGGCAGTGTAAAGGCCAACCAGTGGCTTGAGGAGGCTTTGGCGAAGCAACGGAGAAAAGCAGCCGACGACCCGTCTAACGGGCGCGGAGGCACCCGAGTAACTGTCACCTAGTCGGAGCACAACATGCTCGAGGTCCAGGCTCTGAGATTATCGGACTCTAATAGCCGTAATCTTAAGATATGGAACACCCGCACCCTGCGAGGCCGGGGACTTCCTACACGCCGGATGTATAAGTAAATGTTATTTTTCTCTCTCTGGGGCGCTGTAGGTGCCAACACAGCAACTCGCTGGTTCTCTTCGTGGACAGCTTATCAGGAGTAGTCTCTGTGGCAGTATTCAAGAAGCAATGCCAACTGCCATCACCAGCAACATCATCAGCCGAGAGCCATGCAACTGAAGAGACGTGGATCAGCACGTGTGTGACATCCTGGAACGCCAGCGGCGGAAAGCGGTGCCCCCACGGGTTTGAAGCGAGTAGGTTGCTGCTACGGGACTCCAGAGACTGCTAGTGTCTCGCTTTATTTCACTTACCACTTCCTCCTTTATACCGGATCGTCAATAAAGTTGTTTCACTCGCTCACTGACTCCATTCAATCATTGCTAACCAGCTATGGGGGTGAAGAAACTCAGATTTACCGTATTGGGAAGGAAGGTTATTCTCTGTTTACTGAACAGTGAGTTTAAAGGGAAAAAATGGCTTTGTCAATAAATAAGAAGAAATTTCATATTGTAAAACTCATACCATTTGTACTTAGACGACGCGCTGTGGACTTGCTAGGGAGATATTTCAATAAAACAATCGTATGGGAACAGCACAACCACTCATCCAGAAAATCGATAAGAAAGGTTTAACGGCAATCAATTCAAACTTATCAGGGCAATTTTCGGCATTAGAAGGATCGTTGGGACTTTTCAAATTGGTCCGGAGCTTGCTAAATGTCACGAAAGTTGTTTATTGTGCGTCTAAGCAGCTCGTTGCAACACAACAAATGTCAAAAACAGCCCTCAGCGCAATTCGTAGAGGCGCACAGACAACATCAAACGGTGCCAAATCAGCAAGGATTCGTGCTTTCCTCGCATTTTCTGGGAGGTGGCCTGAATGTAAACTTCAGGAACCGGGCGTACAGGTCGCTTACAGCTGCCGATTGATCGAACGATACCTGGTGGCCAGCGAAGAGTACCGTGTTGTACATAACCGTGCCCGCCACTTTCTCGTATCCCAGAAGCACCTTACGGGCATTGCGGGGAGTAGTTTGGTACCAGGCCTTCCTAGCGGCTTGCCTGAACAACGCCGAGCCTCTCCAGTGCAACTTGCCGAACAAGCGTTCCATTTTACTCGCCGGGAAAACAGAGTCAAGCTGTGCCGTGTAAAAAAGTACGCGAACGTTGTTGAGTACGTGAACCAAGGTCGATGTCCTCTTAGCGAAGAATTCTCCCTCGGATAACTTCATTGCAAGCTCAGTCCTGGTCGCGTCGAGGCTTCTGGAAGGGGCAACGTGAAGGCACTTTTTGAACTCTCCGCTGTTAGCGTATTCCCGGTATTTGTGAACTTCCGTTGGTATTGCTGCTTTGGCGATGCTTCCGTGGTTCTCGAAGCCAGTGAGTAACTCGAACCAGCTTTTCTTGCCGGCTGGGTGCATGTCGAACACCGTTTGCCTCAGCATTTCTGCAGCTGCGGTAAAGTTTCGTACCATGACCATGTACTTAATCTTTTTGACTTGCATATCGAAGCTGTCGCGGCCTTGTTCGTCTAATAGGCTAGAGCAGTACAGGTATTTGGCCGAGTTGATCATGTCTACTAGCGGGAAGACAAAGCCGACGCCGAGCATCACTCCCTTCAGGTGTAGTGGAAACTGATCTTTTACTTTTCGGGTCAGCACTCTCTGCGCCAGTCCTATAGCTGACCTTGCTGCAAAGAAAACAAAAAAACAAAAAGGAATTCCTATAACAGCGCACCTATACATGAAAGACGGAACTAATAATATGCTTTGAAAACACCCTAGAGGCATATGGTTTTTCACAATGGTGAACAGGGCCTCATTGTTCTCTGCATGAATTATTAGCCCAACTGTGGGTCGCTGCTATCAGCCTGAACTTGAGTTTGAAAGGCGTAGAACATGCAGCTTACTACAGGTTCAATTCTCAACCCTTATCTACCTTAAAATAATTATGAAGTGGACCTATTATTTTCTCATGGTGGAGCTATTAGCATTTGCACTTTCCGACAAAACATTATGGAGCTTCGAAACCAAAATGAGGGACATAGTACTATAACTAGTTCACGAGAACATGAACATTACAGCTATGTTGCCCACGTCATATGCGCATGTCTCTAATCAAACTGAGGTGATGTCTACGGACCAAGAGAAATGGAGAAATCAAGGTGTATCAAGCGCTAGGGCTACGCTGGCGTAGACCACAACGTGAAACAACCAAGATATACTTCAAAATCTGCAAGAAATATCACAGGAAAATATATATATATATTACGTGACAGGCCTCGCAAACGCAAAGCGGTGCTGCTTGCGTGTAATTTTTCTAATGCGTCCTACTTGGAAGTGGCGCATGTGTTTCGATATGTGATGTGATTATATTCCCAAAGCGCTAGTTTTAGTCAATGGAGCTGTTGCACCAGGCTTGAACATATAGCCAAGCAACAAACTAGTGCTATTTTCTTCTATAACTTCATCGTTCTAAGTAATATTTTTTTAAAAGCTCATTCCACGGATTCTAGAGATGTGTCATTCGACTTCTGATTTATGGCGTTGACACGGTAAATAAACTTCAGAAATAGAGACAGCAAGGGAGAATTGCTCAAAGTTATAGCTGTACACGAGACGCTTATTGGGAGAATGGTAGAAAGAATGAAATTTTGTTTTTTTAGGCGCTAAGCTTTGAAAACGGCATCGTCTTTTTGTACAGCTGTAATATTTGAAAAACGAATTGCGCCAGTTATTCTAGTATCACCCGCGCTTACAAAAACGGGAGCTATAATATATATAAAACATTTTCTTTTATTATTTTGATATTTGTAACCACTGCTTATCCCGTGTATTACTACTCCCGACACATGTCTGTTGACAGTTGGACCAATGAAACTTTTTTGCGAGTCAAGTCCTCACACAAGCAATACATCATGGAATTATCGTGTTTAGTATCTCGTGAATCTGTGCAGCTTGTTCGATTGTTCTTTTTTGTGTGGTTCGCAGAATTCGATCTATCTATCTATCTATCTATCTATCTATCTATCTATCTATCTATCTATCTATCTATCTATCTATCTATCTATCTATCTATCTATCTATCTATCTATCTAATCTATCTATCCTATCTATCTATCTATCTATCTATCTATCTATCTATCTATCTATCTATCTATCTATCTATCTATCTATATATCTATCTATCTATCTATCTATCTACTATCTATCTATCTATCTATCTATCTATCTATCTATTTATCTATGTGTGAGTATAAGTTATAGCATACCATGTACCGTTTTGATTCACTTATGACAGAGGGTCAAATGATTTACAGGACACTGTCAATGAGCAGAAGACCATCAGCTGTTCTCAAGTGAGTACAAGAGACGGGGAGTAAAACCGAATTCACGTTACCTCCATAGGATTCTCCCCGCGATGAAGAAGTCTCGGTCCCGGTACTCTCGAAAATTCTCCAGAAACGCCTGAGAAACCTGATGCCATGCGTGGTAGCCTGCTGGAGCGTCGCTGGATAATTGCCTTTCGTATCAAAGCTGTAGCCTGCGCCAGCCGGTTGATCCAGATAGATGATGTTGAAGTCATTCAGCAGACTGTGCCTCCTGCGGTACAACTTCCCGGAAGCGTCGATGCCGAGGGGACCGTTTTCGAGGAACTGGCCGTAAAGGGACGACTCCCCGACACCACCTTGTAGCCACAATAGAAGGGGCTTCTCACGAGAGCTGTTCTGTAATGATAGTATGAGCGAGAAGAAATCACATGCAACTCTAACGCTGAATGCATAGGTTACAATCATCATCACCATCATCATCACCATCATCATCATCCTGACTACGCCTACTTTCAGGACAAAGGCGCCATTCCATGTTCCGCCAGTCAAATCAGTCTTGTTCTTGCTGTTGCTACTTTATACCCACAAACTTCCCAATCTCACGTGCCCACCTAACTTTCGGTCTTCCCTCACCCGCCTGCCTTCTCTTGGAATCCATTCCGTAATTTCTTTTTTCATTTATTTACCTATGCACACCAACATTTGGTTCATGCAGGAAGGGCAGTCACATTACTCACGAAAGAAAAATTTAAATTCAATAACAAAATATATTACAATGATAAAAAAGAATGCGCGAACTTTCCCTCAAAACTCCGGAATGCACACATACGACGTAGTACATCGAAATAAATACAGTTTTGTAACTTCAACAATATTGTTGAAAATGGTGTACAAACTTAAAATACAACACTGAATGCGGGTAGCGTAGTAATTTAAGAAAGTTTGTTCACTACATGTCTAAAATTTCACTTGGTCACCGTCCTTGAAAAAAAAAAGAATGTTAGTAGTAAGTGTTTGTTCTGGCGAAATGAGGGGTTAATGCATATACCGGATCGTGACGTGTACGCCTTGTAGACAGAGGTGTTACATATTTGTTTATTTATTTTCCGAATACTGTTAGCCTTTCGGCTGCTAGAGGGGTGGGATATACTGAGAATGACAAACATCAATACACTCAAATAACAAAATAATATAATGATAATATTATATTATTATTATTATTTTATTATTATTATTATTATTATTATTATTATATTATTATATTATTATTATTATTATTATTATTATTATTATTATTATTATTATATTATTATTATTATTATTATTATTATTATTATTATTATTATTATTATTATTATTATTATTATTATTATTATTATTATTATTATTATTATTATTATTATTATTCATAGTAGCAGCAGCAGTAGTAGTATTCATATGCTCACAGCATTATATTCAAACTAGAAAGGTAGGACAAAACAGATATGATTATTTTGCGTATATCTTGCCTCTGCCTTGATGTGTAAGAAGAACAAGAACGTAGAATTGTCGCCGTCTACTGGGATGAATCCAGAAAACGCTTCCAGATGTGAGCAGGGTCCTGGCAGTGTTACTCGGCTGGCATTTCTTAAATGTTCGATCTTATCCAGGTTTACGAAGTCGTTTGTGACCGGGAGCAGCAGATCCTCAGAGCTCGGGCTAGAATAGAAACACATTGCACATGATCCGAACGTAAGAGAAGTTCTGGAAAACATGGTGGTGTGAAGTCGTGAGAAATCGTTAATGTTTAAAAGCTGCTTTCAAGCACCTCGAAGACACGGACAGTGTAAGTGGATATGACAGCGCTTACGATCACGTGTGTGCTTCATATTTATCTGCTCATGTATCTGCTTTACATGTTTCCTCTAACCAAAAAAAAAATAATTCATTTGAGAATGCAACTATCATCATGTCTATTTCCGTTGGGGGAATATTGTGTTCGAAATAAAGCGTCAATGACAATAGCTCCGCATGCTTTCAGCGACGGTGGTCATCGGGATTTTCGTCATCATGCGGTGAAGCACACGACTTAAGATTCGATACCTCCTCTGACTGTGGCATTGTTCCAGCTCTGCAGCTGCATGGAGCATTCGTGCTGAATGCACAGCTCATTGTGATTGCGAGAACCATTTCAGCGGTACGCATGGTGAAATGAGTTTTCTTCTATCGCATCACTTCCATTCTTTGCATTCTCCTTTGCAACTGGCCCAATCACGTGGAAATGTTGTAGTCAGCACTCTTGCCTTGTACTATACTCGCTGCGTTCTTTTAGGCAGGTCGGTTCACTAAGGGGCATTGTGAATCAAATTGTGATTTTGTAAGCACTGATGTACTTGGGAATATGTTTTAGGAGCGAAGCTTCTTATGCCGTGGGTCTGTCGCTCCTCCGCATGTATGGAGTAGTACGTAGCCACCGATGGCACATATCTGCTCTAGAGCGGGTATGTGTCACAGGGGTTGCGAGATGGGAGATGGCGGTACTTGAAGTGTTCACTAGATGGACCCACGGACGGACTCATGGATGGACGGACAGACAGACTAGCAGACAAACGGATGGGTGAACGCGTGGACGTACGGACGGAGGGACGCACAGATGGACGGACTCGCGCATGGACGCATGGACAGACGGACACATAGATTGACGCATTGATGGTCGTGCGGACGGACAGAAGCAAGACGGAATGAACGGACGGAAGCACAGACGGGCTGACGGACGCTACGCCCCACTCATCATCATTCACTCCATGGATATGCTGTGATTTTTTTCTGCATGTGTTCGTTTTGCAAAGATGCTAGCAGTGTGATTCATTCACACGATCTGGATCATTATTGACTGAAAGACAGACGTCCCACTCTACATGTGATATTTCCTGACTCTCTATAGGAGATAATCAAAATAATATGCAGCATATATACTAATTTCATGGCGACAGCTTTACCGTTTCGGAACTCCCCAGCGCTTCCCTTCTCGTGTTATCTTTCTTTTGCTCCCTGCATGTGCCAAAGATTATCAGCAACACTCATCGCATAGCCTTCAAAACTCCCTATTTTTCGTCATCATCAGTCATTATTCACGGCCTATTTCACGTGTCTCTATGACAGGTTGAAAGACTTTCTAAATGGTCTTCAATTTACAGTATTTCGTTGGAACTAATTCGCCTTTCACCTGCAAACCCAATTTCGTCACTCTATATCAATAAACTATAGTTGTCGTTTTGTGTTGCGCTTGGCATCCGCCGTTCACCTTTCCGATGCCCTAACTGACGCCACGACTGCCTGTCCTACACATTACGCAGGCAGCTCAGATTCATTTGCTTCACCCAGAGTCAAACAAAAAAAAATGGCTGGCCCAGTTTGTTTCCGGACCGATCATCACTTAGTGTTCAATCACATGCTCTTGAGTGGAACGTTGAGTGGTACATAATGAGGAAAAATATGTCCAGGCACTAAATTTTAGCGCATGCTGTACAACCTCATGTCGACTGCATATTTTCGTCCTCTAATCTTAACCTTAACCTTGATATTTCTGCGTGATATGTTGGAGTCAATATGTTGTAACAATTGTAAAGTTTTCTTATAACCTGCCTGCTGCTCGTGCTAGAAATTTGCTAATGTCAGGCTTCTGCGCAACGACCAACATGGCCCTGTAAGCTAACTTGTTTCGCATTGGATTGGATAAACTTTTATTTTATAATCAGAATCATTTGCCTCATTCTGAGTAACTATATTTTCGTACGCTTAGCACAGGCTGACTTCCCATATTGATTTATTTTGATCTGACCATGATATTGAATATAATTGTAAATCTTGTTCTCATACTCTATCTCGCTTAAGCCTACTGTGTTTTTTTTCTTCTAATTCATGTTGCCCGATAATTTCGAAGGCTCTGCCAACGCAGGCATGTGGTTTCAAGGTCTATTAGCGTAAATAATGTGAGCGAATGCTCTCCGCAGTAGGGTACATTTATCAAAATTAGCACTTCCACCTTTTTATAGCGAAGAGCAAAAAAAAATGCTCTACGATGCACGATTGCTCCCAAAGCATGTGCAAATTGCACATTTATGTAGCAAACATGCAAGAGCTGGTACCACATACTACTTCATAATATTTTGCGTAGATGCATAACTGAAAATGGCTGCTATTTTAAGCAAAAATCATAAACATCTGCAAAAATAGGTAATATTTGTAAACCACAACTACAAAGTATTCGCAACAATGCGAAGTAATAGTTCATCGTGATTTATCACGACAATGTATTTTGCTCACAACCGGAAAATTATAATCGCTTAAGTTTGCATACAGGCAGGGTGCATGAGAAGGTGAAACAAGTGGCCATTTGGTGCTGTTATTTTCAGATATTGCATTAAGTTAGCTTGTCGCAATACATGTAGGTGGTTTCATACCTTGGTTCCTGGGGCCATTGTCCCTTCGTCCCACCACGGGAATCACATCGTGTCTCTGCTAGAATAAAAATCAACAGTATCATGGTAGTTTCAAGAAATTTCATCGTTTTCTGCCTCTCAGCCAAGTAAGAGTAATGTCGGCTTTGCGTTTTCTCAGCTGTTCTCTATTCACGTCTCCGGAAGAAAAAAAAAATCTTAATTCACTTGTTCAGCGCTTAGCATCTGTTCTACACCAAAAAGTCAGGGCTTTGTTCGAGTTCTATTGTTCATTTTCAATAGTAAACCAGCCCGGATTCCCGTGTGGACACATGGGCAGTTGTCAAAATCTATAAGAACAATTAACAGTGTTCTCACAAAATTCGAAGGGTAATATTTAAGGCATTGTGTTTGGAAGTGTGTTTCTCTGTGACGTTGTTATGGGCGAAAGCATGCCTGCCTTAGTTGCACTTATTGTACAATAGAAGTGCGTTACATGCACATTTATTGAACAATACTTGGAGATGCCTAGATAAAAAAATTCTTTATGTCTAGTCTTGGTCACTTTATTTTGTAACATCCACTTATGTATCTAACAATATTGCAGCTAATTGGAAATATTGCGCTGCCGGGTTCTTATACTCTAGCTTACGTTTTACCTTGTTCAGTGTTTGCAAACTTTTTTTTAGACTTATCTGAGGAGGTGATGTAGTCGGGCGCTTCCGTTTATCGGGATAAATGTACTGGAGCACTCAAAGAAGCAAAAATAATCAATTCACAAGTCGATTTTTCTTCCTCATTCTGAAATTTTAATCATGGAATACATTTTGGACAGCCTAGAGTTATGAAGCACTTGCTGTTTTTAAATGCTCATACGATTTCAAGAGGAAGGGGTATAACGGCTGCATATTAGTGGTGCTTACCTACGGAGGAGGAACCTAGAGGATCACAAAGAGGGTTTAACTTAAGTTAAGGACGATGCAGCGGGCAACGGCAAGGTAATTATAGGTGTAAACCCTAAGGGACAAGAATAGAGCAGAGTGTATCAGGGAACAAACGGGTGTTAAGGACATAGTCGAAACCAAGAAGAAATGGTCATGGACAGGGCATGTAGCGTGAAGGCAAGATAATTGATGATATTGAAGGTCACAGACTGGATTCCAAGAGAAGGCAAGCGAGTGGGGAGGAGTCACAAAGTCAGGTGGACAAATGGGATTATAAGAAGTTTGCGAGTATAAAATGGCAGCAGCATGCACAGGACCGAGTTGACTGGTGGAACACGGGAGAGGCCTTTGTCCTGCAGTGGGCGTAGTGATGCCGATATTGACGACGATGAACTGTATAGAGCAAAAGGGGGGCCTTTGCAAGTATGGGCAACCACTCATGGAATACGCACCTATGTGTGCATTGCAGTGTGCGTATACCGGACAGACACAGACAGACAGGACAGACAGACAGACAGGACAGACGACAGACAGACAGACAGACAGACAGACAGACAGACAGACAGACAAGACAGGCAGGCAGGCAGGCAGGCAGGCAGGCAGACAGGCAGGCAGGCAGGCAGGCAGGCAGGCAGGCAGGCGGGCAGGCGGCGCGGGCAGGCGGGCGGGCGGGCAGGCAGGCAGGCAAGCAGGCAGGCGGGCAGGCAGGCAGGCGGGCAGGCACAAAACTTTATTGAGGTCCTGAGGAACACTACCTCAAGGAGGTAGAGCAACGGGCCGCCCCCACGTCGGAACGGGTAGGCCGAGCCTCACCGCCACGTCGTGGGCCCTCTGGAAAGCCCAGAGTTGATGTGAAAGTTCTGAGCTCCTGAGCGCAGGGCCAGATACCTCTTCAGTCATCTGCCAAGAATGGCGTGATGAGGGGCACTGCCAGAGCATGTGGTCTAACGTAGATACGGAACCACAATCTGGGCATGTTGGATCAATGATTTCAATAAACTGGCTGTGGGAACGAAGACGTAAACAAAAGAAATATATTAGTGAAAGCCGATATGAGCGAGTACACTGCAAAGTGCCAGCAGTTCATAGAAACCATCGCGAGGAAGCAACTAAACACAACACACAGGAAGAAACAAACGTGGATAGGTGCACACTACCAACTGGTTTTATTCAAGGAAGATCCACACCATTATACATCAACACCCTGTGCAGGGGCACCGCCACAGCAACAAAAAAAAACAAGAACCAAGAAAAGAAACCAACAACTAAGTCGCAGTGTGTTGACGTATGAAGTGTGAATCTTCCTTGAATAAAACCAGTTGGTAGCTTGCACTTGTCCTCGTCTATTTCTTTCTGCGTGTTGTGTTTAGTTACGCCATCACGATGGTTTCTATGTCAGTAGTATGGTCAGCAGACTAATATAACTTATTTTTTTATCAGTTGCACACACAGCGTATCTTCTTCAGCTCCGGTTGCAAGAGAACAATGGATGTTCCTTAAGCTGTTTAGTTTATTCTGTCATATTAACCAACCATCAGTAGTTTCGCTTCGTGTGCTATTCGATCTTGAGAAAGGCTGACACAGATAAGAAAAAAAAAACAGCATTAGTGCTGAGGAGCAGTCAAGAGATAAGTTGTGAGAAGGGAAGCTGGAGAGAGGAAGATGAACAGGTGGAGGAAAGACAGGGAGGTAAACCAAGAAAAAATGCGGTTGTCTATCCTGCACTGAGAAAGGGGAAATAAGGTTAGAAAGAAGGTTGGGGCAGAAAAAAAACGTACACATGCCGCTAGAGAAATGATGCGAATGATGGCACAATGGGTGAATATAAGGCAACATCAACATGAGAGTAAAGATCATGAGTGTTAGTGCGCGTCTGGTTCTTATGATGGCGCGATTATCGATTTGGCACGAGGAGCCCTGCTACGCCACCTTCACACAGCGTTCTGATCGTATTTGAGGAGGAGAAAATCAGGAAGAAGAAAGAACGTTGTTGGTGCTGTAGCGAGACTGCGCCCCTGCCCTATTAATAACAAACCTGTGCGCTCTTATGAGCATAAAAAGTTACTTTTGTGTTCTGGCACTGCGTGATCCTCAGCCTTTTGGACATATTTGGTTGTAAGACTAGTGCATTAGTGAGGCACTAGTCCTCGCTTTGACCCCAGAAGCAAGAACATTTTCTTTTTCTCCCGAGCAGCCAACCTTTCGTTATACGATACAAATTGTGATTGTGTTGTAGCTATAGGCTTCATGCGGACCAAGCTCCGCTGTCGAAGAAGGCGCCTACAGCGGAAGCAAGCGCAGTCCTGGAAAGAACCCCCCCCCCCCCCCCCCTCCCCGTGTTCTGCCCCACAGTCGCGCGATGGTGACTGCGCGGTCAGCCAATAAAACTGGCTGTCTTTTTTTCACTCAAACAAGCTGGGAGTTCACCGCGCAAACGCAACAAGAGCCTGTTGCGGAAAGCAGGTTGTAGAGCGCGTTGTGAAGCCGAGTCGTCGGCCTCTCGCCATATCGCACTGTTCAATTGGCACTCAATGCAGCCGTAATGCCTCAGCACGTGTGTGACGCTGATGCTCTTTGCCTGAACTCTGAATGAGCAAGTTCGCCCTCGGGTTATCTGTAAGGAAGGTTTTAAGACCATAAAGAAGTTGGTGAGCTGTATTAAATCCTTGGAGCGATCAAGGCTAACACGAGAAGACAAAAGGAGAAAAAAAAATGGCAGCATATCTACGGAGTGAATGATGGAGCGTGGGAGCGAAGCATTCGTCCGTCCATTCGTTCTTGCTTCCGTCCGTCCATGCGTCCGTCTGTGTGACCGTCCATGCGTCCATCCGCCCGTCCGTGCGTGTGTCTGTTCGTGTGTACGTCCCTGAGTTCGTCCATGCATCCGCCCCTGCTCCCGTTCATGCGTCCTTCCATGCATCTGTCTGTGTGTCCGTTCGTTTATCTAATCAACACTCCAAGTACCACGATCTCGCATCTTTTCATCATATATTCCCCATATAAAAGCTTCGCCATCCAGCGGACATTCCAAGGACTAAACGAGAGGTGGCACACGCACACTTTCTTACGGCTTGCGCTTCGGGTCTACTTCCCACCTTTAACCACATCGAGTTTATGGTATATACTAGTTCACTGAATTCATGGCACTGCGGCCCAATGCTCGCTAAACCTTTCTAAAACCAAGGAGGTTACGCCCAGCGAGTATAACGTAGCAACCTTTTCCTGTCAGACAGTGCTCAATGTTCATGCCAATGGCTGCTAATGGGAAATGAGAGACAGGAGAATTCGGCTTTTACTTTCTTACGGCTTGCGCTTCGTATCTACTTCCCACCTTTAACCACCTGAAGTTAATTCATGGTATATACTAGTTCATTGTATTCATGGCACTGCGGCTCAACGCTCGCATAACCTTTTTAAAACTAAGGAGGTTACACCCAGCAAGTATTACGTAGCAACCCTTTCTTGTCAGATAGTGCTCAATGTACATGCCAATGACTGCTAATGGGGATTGCAGCGTGCGCGTTAACTAAAAGCCGAATGCTCCTGCTTCTCATTCTCCATTAGCAACCTTTGGCATGTACATTGAACACTATTTTTATTGTTCAACAACGCACAAAAGAAATCTTTCACCGGTACCACCTTGGAGGTCAAAATGTTATACTTGTTACATACTACAACGGCTACGAGGTATGAACGAGTGCCGCTATAAGGAGCTTCACCCCTAAAAAGAAACGGGCTTTTCGCAATCCTGTTGTCCACAAGACTTGAGTTGTCTGGAATAGGCCTTCATTTTGCAGGAAGGCCGCATGGCCGCAATTAACTTGTCTTTGATGCGTGAGCCATTTCATCTGCGTACAAGACAAGTGTCGCAACGTGCTGCATTTTCCTGTGACTCCATCACGGTGGTCGCTACTGGGCGCGCACATGCCCTTGCTTTCATTGTCTGTAGCTAACAATCAAGGACCAAAACTTAAGGAACAAGCCTCGATGGTCACAAATCCAGGCGCGTTCATTCTTGTCCATGTCCATGTACTTACCTGTGATATAGTATGTCCACTGCGCAAAAAAACCCTTTTCCACCACACCGCGTGGACAAAAACCGCTTCAAAAAGCCTGCATTTTTTAAAGTTGTCACCCAGGAATAAACAGTACATTCCTCGTAGTTCTCTGAATCAAAATTTTATTACTATGGACGCATTCTGCACTGCTGTGACTAGCTAAGCGCGTCCCG